AAAGCACACTAGACAAAAATCGGGTAAGAAAAAATAATTTGGAAACTTAAGTTCTTCTAAGTCCTATAGAAGGGCTGATAAGTATGACCTAGGTATGTGAGGTGGAGTTTGGATGGGCCTGGATTTAAGCTGGGCTAACCTCAGACTGAAGTTAGCAATGGAGCTTTGGGCAAATCCTATACATTCTCTGAGCTCCTGAATGCTAATGTGTAAAGTGAAGATAAGGAAACATCACTCATACGTTATTTGAAAACATTAAATTAAATTTAAAACAATTGACACATGCAACTTGTCCACAAATCCACTGTGATAATAGCAACCACATTTTATTGGTGTTGTGTGCCCAGGCCTTTCCTCAATGCCTAACACATAAAGCGTACTCAATAAACAGTTTGATTACAGGTTGGCAAATTAAACCTGGTAATGGGAAGATCTAGAAACTAAAATTGAATCAGTTATCTGTAGTTAGTGTGGAATCTTCACCTTCTGAACCAATAGTTAACAGTAAAACACCAGAGTATGCAAAAGGACAGGTAATAATTTGATGGGAGGAGATTGTGTTATCTGACAAAATGGAAACTAACAATTTAGATCCAACCAACCTCGCTCACCTGCCCTTCTCCAACTTAGAACTCAAGAGAAAGGAGATGGACATGAAGATGTACAGCCTACAAGAAAGAAAGGACCATGTGTCCCTAGAGGTCAACGATCCCCAGGATGATGACTACCTTTGTAAGTGACCCTCACTAAGAAGCATGTTCTGATACAATAATTTCATCTAGTCCTTTGCTCCCCAAATCATTCCCTTCCTCTGGTGACCTGGAGTACAGGATTGAGTCTCAATGATGTCAGTGCTGGACTTTCTCTGAAGCTCTTTGTGCCCAGGTACATGCACTATACCTTCCCTAACCCCTGTTGCTCTTGCCTCCAGATTGTGAGAAGTGTCAGAACTTCTTCATCGACAGCTGTGCAGTGCATGGGCCCCCTACATTTGTAAAGGACACTGCAGGGCACAAGGGGCATCCCCACCGCTCAGCCCTCACCCTGCCCCCTGGGTTGAGAATCGGGCCCTCGGGCATCCCTGAGGCTGGGCTTGGAGTGTGGAATGAGGCAGCTGACTTGCCAGTGGGTCTGCACTTTGGCCCTTATGAAGGACACATCACAGAAGATGGAGAGGCAGCCAAGAGCAGATACTCCTGGCTGGTGAGAACTATTTACCTCTTCCACTGTCCTCTGCCTTCCCACGTTCCTTCTGAGGCTTAGAGGGACCTCACCTCTTATGTACTAGATATGGAGGGGACAATATGGTTAGCTCTGTGTACTGTCTGGACTTTACATGAAAACACAGCTCCTTTTCAGGATCACAAGGTAAGTGGGAGCAAAGTGGTGCAGACACAAAAGAGTGGCTCCTCCTTTGTGGGGCTCCCGCTCTGATTGGACAGGTAGACTTGGATGTGTAGATGATGAGTAACAAAAATATCATGTGGTCACAACTGCAGTTGAATCCCCATGCACGCTGGAAGAGCTTTGATGACAGTGGAGTAAAATCTTCTATTACCTCCCCACAAAAAAAAAAAGGTCTTTAACTTCTTTTCTGAAACACAGATCGCCAAAGGGAGAAACTGCTATGAGTATGTGGATGGAAAGGACAGATCCTGGGCCAACTGGATGAGGTGAGGTCAACAGGTCTCTGGGTGCCAGAGGGACACTCACCCCCACAAGCCCATAAATCTTTCCCTCTCGTCATGCCTCCCTCAGTGCTCTCCCTTAGTCCTTTTTTTTTCTCTTTTTCTCCATACAGTGTTCTTTCATTTCAAGGGACATTTAGGGAAAAACTACAGCATATGTCCTCAAAATATAAAACTCTACTAGAAACAACTTTGGCTCTGGGATGCACCTTGAAGAGCCTAGATTCACCAGGGACACTAGATTATACTTTATCAAATCAACATTAATTAAGCACTTACTATATTCCAGCTTAGATGCAGGAATACATTACTTAAACAGATCACACAACCCATGTCCATATGAAGGATTTCTTGCAGACACACATAAAAAAAACACTTTTAGAAGCATTTAACTATAATTTCTAAGAGGTGCACAGTGTCAAGATACCACAAAGCAAGGATGGCCTAAACCTGTGAGGGCAGCACACCATTCCAGCCTCACTTCTAACTAGAGCTGGGCTCTGAGGCCTGCAGAGAAATGGTCATGGGCCCCTTTCCTGAGAGGGGCTCTCTTTTATCAGGGATAACAGAATGTGAATCAACTACTATTGTTCTGTTTTATTTTACTAAGACAAAAGGACCTTCAATTTTCTATGGTAACCTTGGGCCAGGCAAGTGAATGGTACCCTAAATAAAGTGTATGGGGGTTGGACAAAGGACTCTCAAAAGAAAATAGATGTGGGCTGAGTACTGAATAATTAGTGAGCTAATTTAGAAGCAGAGCCCTAGATCAAGCACCAGGCTCTGTGGTGTGAGACAACTCAGTTTAGAGTTTGTAAAAGCCGGAGATCACTGGATATTACGGCCAATCAGGGTGGAGGTTAAGTCTAGAACTGGGTTTTAGAAAATGGTATTAGGCAGCATTCGCACTGCAAGCAGGACTTGGAGATAGGAATTCATATGACATGCTGTCAGATGCTCAGACACTGAACAGAAGGTTCCCCAGGAGAACCTCTGTCCAACTCCTCGCCCCTAACCGCATTAGGGGCGAGGAGTTGGACATGGATGTAACAGGTAGTGGGACCTCATGACTGTGGTTTTCTTTCCCTTTCTCTGCCTCAATCCCAGGTATGTGAATTGTGCCCGGGATGATGAAGAGCAGAACCTGGTGGTCTTTCAATACCACAGGCAGATTTTCTACCGAACCTGCCGGGTCATCAGGCCGGGCTGTGAGCTGCTGGTCTGGTGCGGGGACGAGTATGGCCAGGAGCTAAGCAGCAAGTGGGGCAGCAAGTGGAAGACAGAGCTTGCGGCCAGGAGAGGTGGGCACCACTGTTCTTCAAAACAGAAAGAAAGAGAGAATTCTCCATAGAAATATTCATGATCCAGCTCCTGGGTAGAGTAAAATCCACTCTAAAGTCAGTAAATTTTCAAATCAGATGCCTCAGAAATTCACAATTCATTCATATGCCTTTGACTCTTAGGCAAAATTTTTATATTATTTGTAAAATATTTCATGAACAAGCCCTGGCTGGCATAGCTCAGTGGATTGAATGCGGGCTGCGAACCAAAGTGTTGCAGGTTCAATTCCCAGTCAGGGTACATGCCTGGGTTGCAGGCCATGACCCCAGCAACCGCACATTGATGTTTCTCTCTCTTTCTCCCTCCCGTCCCTCTCTAAATAAATAACATCTTAAAAAAATTTCATGAACATAATACACAACTGCATATAGCACTGAAAGACTGAGGGGCAAAAAGTTTTCAGGTACTAACCAGTTCTCTCACCAAGGCAGTTTTTCTGACACTTTTATAGCTGTTTTTTCTTGATTTTCTTCTATACTTCTAAATAAAACATTTTTGTTTATAGGCATTCATTATTTTTTAAAGATTTTGTCCTGGCTGGTGTGGCTCAGAGTATTGAGCACCAGCCTGTGAACCAAAGGACTACCAGTTTGTTTCCTAGTTGGGGCACATGCCTGGGTTGCGGGCCAGGTCCCCAGTAGGGGACATGTGAGAGGCATCCACACATTGATATTTCTCTCCCTCTCCCACCCTCCCTTCCCCCTTTTCTGAAAATAAATACCTAAATCAAATCTTTTTTTTTTATTATTATTTTTTAAATATTTATTTATTTTTTAGAGAGGGAAGGGAGGGAGAGAGAGAGAGAGAAACCTCAATGTGCGGTTGCTGGGGGTTATGGCCTGCAACCCAGGAATGTACCCTGGCTGGGAATCAAACCTGGGACACGTTGATTCCCAGCCCGTGCTCAATCCACTGAGCTACACCAGCCAGGGCCCTAAATCAAATCTTTTTAAACAGGTTTTTGTTTATTTTTACAGAGAGTGGAAAGGTGGGAGAAAGAAAAACCAATGTGCAAGGGAAACATTAATTGGTTGTCTGTGGCATGCCCCCAACCTTGGCATGTGCCCTGACTGAGAGTGGAACTTGTACCCTTTCAGTTTTCAGACAACACCCAAACCAAGCCACACCATTCAGGCAGGGCACATTTGTTCACCATTTCAGTGAATTGTTGGGCAAAATCCTCCTCTGTGGCCCACATGGTCCTGGGGCCTGGAAATACAGATTAACATGAGGATGAGAACACTGTTCTTGAGGAGCTGACCAATAAAGGAGGGAAACCCAGGCACACGTGCTTGCATGTGCATAGCACCACACAGTGGTTAGTGCTTTGGAGAAAACTAATCCAGGACAAGTGCTGAGGGATCATTGTGAGGGGAGGTGTGGTATAGCACGTGGTCCAGGAAGGGCTCCCTCAGGAGATAACATTTACAAAAATACCTGCAGGCAGAGGGAGCAGGTAGTACAGGGAAGAAAAGTGAGGCCTTGAATTGGCTGAGGGTCATTCAGGTCTCATCGCAGCCTAGCGGGTAAGAATAGAGATCAGACGGATGCTTAGCAGCCCGGAAATGTAGTGCTGATGACGAGAGTTGAGGCACTGGGGACTTTCCTGAGTGCAAGTGTGCAGTCGTCAGCTGTAGAGTAGCCTGTTCTCTGTTCTGATCATGCTTTGTTAATTTTTAGAAAATAAACTCCAGTGGGGAATCCCCTCAGAGATTATTTCATCTCCAAGTGAGAAAGCATGGTGGATTGGCCAGAGAGGACCAGGAGTCAGGTGTGTAAGACATGTGGTTGGAGAAATATTTGAAACAGGACTTACCAGGATATTTGAAATGAACTAACACTGAATGAAATGAAGCACAAATATTTGGTGTGAGGCCTGAGGAATGACTTCTTTTTTAAGATTTTATTTATTTTTCGAGAGGAAGAGGAAGAAAGACAGGGAAACATCAATTCAGGATTGCCTCTCACACGCCCCCTACTGGGGACCTGACCCACAACCCAGGCAGGTGCCCTGACTGGGAATCTAACCTGTGAGTCCTTGCTTCACGGGTAGGCACTCAATCCACTGAGCCACACAAGCAAGGGCAGAAAAGATATTATTTTATAGTTTTGAAAAACTGAAAGAGATGCAATTCCTAGTTTTCTTCTTTAACATGACATAGAGAACACCTGTAGAGGGGAAAGGTCACTGCAGTTCAGGGAGTGAAATTGCCTCTCCTGCTACCTGAAAGTCCCTAGTCTGAGCAATATTAGCAAAGACCCTTGACGTGGGCTTCCTGGATTTCTGAAGAAGATGCACTGCATAAAAATACAAAGGAAAATAGACTGGGAGTGGACACGTTGTGGGAGACAGAACTTGCGATGTCACCACAATAAGGATTCATGGGGCAGGTCTTACCAGGAGACAAGTACAGCCCAGGCATTCTCATCAACATCTGCCCTGACCAAACCTTTCTCTTTCAGCGGAACCGAAGCCAGAGGTGCACCCATCTCCCTCCTGCTCTCTGGCCTTCTCCAGTCAGAAGTTCCTCAGCCAACACGTGAAACTCAGTCATCCCTCTCAGATTCTCCCGGGAACATCTGCAAGAAAACACCTCCAAGCAGAGGACCCCTGCCCAGAGGATCAGAATCAGCAGCAACAACATATTAGTACACACACCTGGAATGATAAAGCTGAAGGTCAGGAAGTCAAAGATAGGTCCAAACCTTTGCTTAAAAGGATCAGTCACAGGACATTCTCAAGACCCTTTTTCCAACCTTCCAAAGAACAAATGACAAGTTCTAGTGAGCATGAGAGAATGATGGAGGAAGAGCCCTGCAGAGGCCAGGAAGAGAGTCCAGAGGACACAGGCAAGTTATTTGTGAAAGCAAGAATGTCAAAAATTTTAGCAATCCAGCATGGTGGGTGCTGGCAAGGCTTCAATGATGGGTCACATCTCATCCCACACCAGAGGACACAGTCTGGAGAGAAGCCCTATGTTTGCAGGGAGTGTGGACGAGGCTTTACATGGAAGTCACATCTCATCACACACCAGAGGACACACTCAGGGGAGAAGCCCTATGTTTGCAGGGAGTGTGGGCGAGGCTTTACACGTAAGTCACATCTCATCACACACCAGAGGACACACTCAGGGGAGAAGCCCTATGTTTGCATGGAGTGTGAGAGAGGCTTTACACGGAAGTCAGTTCTCCTCAGACACCAGAGGACACACTCAGGGGAGAAGCCCTATGTTTGCAGGGAGTGTGGGCGAGGCTTTACACAGAAGTCACATCTCCTCAGACACCAGAGGACACACTCAGGAGAGAAGACCTATGTTTGCAGGGAGTGCAGGCGAGGCTTCACATGGAAGTCATATCTCATCACACACCAGAGGACACACTCTGGGGAGAAGCCCTATGTTTGCAGGGAGTGTGGGAAAGGCTTTAAACAGAAGTCCAGTCTCATCACACACCAAAGGACACACTCAGGGGAGAAGCCCTATGTCTGCAGAGAATGCAGGCGAGGCTTTATATGCAAGTCAAATCTCAGAAAACACCATAGGACACACTCAGGGGAGAAGCCCTATGTTTGCAGAGATTGTGGGCGAGGCTTAACACGGAAGTCATATCTCATCACACACCAGAGAACACACTCAGGGGAGAAGCCTTATGTTTGCAGGGAGTGTGGGCGAGGCTTTACATGCAAATCAAGTCTCATCACACACCAGAGGGCACACTCAGGGGACAAGCCCTATGTTTGCAGGGAGTGTGGGCGAGGCTTTACACAGAAGTCACATCTCCTCAGACACCAGAGAACACACTCAGGGGAGAAGCCCTATGTTTGCAGGGAGTGTGGGCAAGGCTTTACATGCAAGTCAGTTCTCATCAGACACCAGAGGACACACTCAGGGGAGAAGCCCTATGTTTGCAGGGAGTGCGGGCGAGGCTTTACACAGAAGTCACATCTCCTTAGACACCAGAGGACACACTCAGGAGGAGCCCTATGTTTGCAGGTGAAGTGAATGAATCATTACCGTTAAATCACATGTCAATAGCCCTCAGACATCTATAGAACCTTACTCTCCCCAAGATTGTAATTAGTACAGAAGTAACTGGTTAAACAAACCCTCCAGTTTCATGACAAGAGATGAGATGGACAAACAATTCCATGAGTAATATGGGGATATCAGCATCAATGTCTTTCATGGGTTTTTGATGGCCTTTTCTGAAAAGTTTTGTCTCCATACAAATATGAAACCCACATCCCTCATTCCGCCATCACTGAAAGCAGAGATTTCAGAAAGAGACAACAAGAACTCATACTCTCAGCCACAGAAATTCAAGCCCTACAAATGGGTAAGTCTGGAGCCAGTCTACTTTGGTTACTGCCCAGAGAGGGATTTGAGACAGACTCACCTGAGAAGGGAATTCCCCAGACTCCTGGGAAGTGGGTCCTTTTCTCTTACTAGGCTCCCTGCCCTCCTCCCTTGGCTTGTCTTGGCTCTTCTCCTAGTTTCCTACAACCTCTGGAGCCTCAGAGGTGAACGGCAGGGAGGGATGTATGCTTGTGCAGGGACATGAGCCTGGCTCAGTCTGGGCACCTGGTCTTCCTCACTCTCCTTGCTGCCCCTTCAGGGTCAGCATTTCCTGGTGCACAGCATACAGATTCCACATCAGTCCATAGTGGGTATGAGTCTCAGCTCTGTCTTCTCCAGCTGTGTGACCTAAGGCAAGATACTCAACTTCTCTCTGCCTGATTCCTAGTCTGTACACTGGAAATGGGAACTCCAGCCTTTCAGTTTGACATTCAACATTGAGTGAGCACAGACAGAATCTGGCAAGTGGATCACTGAGATCACAAGTCCTGCTGAACAGCCATCGGTGCCCTTGTCTTCTGGGTCTTTAGCACTGGACAAAGGAAGATAAGGACAGGGTAGGGATCTGTAGCCAAACTCAGATTTTGAGCAAACCCCATTGCTTTCCCCACATAGACTCAACTGCCCTGAGAGGTAGGTGTGAGGTGGAGGATGT